GGGTTGGGACGGCGGCTTTCGACGGCGAGGACAAACACCGCCTTGCGTAAGAAACAAGGAAGCATCGAGCGGAAGCCGTAGTTTCGTCGAGACGGTGGCTGTCGGCGGCGAGGAACAGCACCGTCTTCAGGAAAAAGAAAGGACATCTCGAGCGGGAGTGTTGTTCTTGCCGGGGGCGGCGCCATTTCAAAAGAGAGTAGGGCGCCAGCCCAGCGTAAAACGGAATGAAGTCTCGGGCGGGAGCGCTGGTTTTGTCGGGGCGGCGGTTTTCGGAGGCGAGGAGGAACACCGCCTTGAGTAATAAGGGAGGAAGTACCGAGCGGGAGCCGTGGTTTTGTCGGGACGGGAGTTGTCGGCGGCGAGGAACAGCACCGTCTTCAGGAAAAAGGGAGGAAACCTCGAGCGGGAGCATTGTTCTTGCTGGGAACGGCGCCAATTCAAAAGAGAGTTCGGCGCCAGTCCAGCATAAAACGGAAGGACATCTCGGGCGGGAGCGCTGGTTTTGTCGGGGCGGCGATTTTCGGCGGCGAGGAGGAGCACCGACTTGAGTAAAAAAGGGAGGAAGCCCCAAGCGGGAGCGTTGTCTTTGCTGGGGGCGGCGCCAATGAGAGAAAGACTAGCGCCCCAGTCCAAGGTAAAACGAGAGGAGGTCTCGAGCGGGAGCGCTGGTCTTGTTAGGACGGCGGCTTTCGGCGGCGAGCATGAACACCAGCCCTAAGTAAAAACGGAGGAGGTCTCGAGCAAGAGCGTTGTTTTGTTGGGGTGCCAGTTTTGGCGGTCCCCCAAACCGCTCGAGCGTGAGCCTCATTTCCACTGAAAATGTAGCCGGCGCCTCGGCGAGAGCGCCAGGGCGCCTTGAAGGGGTCCAGCAATCATAATTTAGTAATTAACATTCCATAGCAACGCAAACGACAACAACGACAACACCAGCAACAACACCAACACCAGCAGCACCAACAGCAGCAACCCCAACAGCAGCAAAACCAACCACACAAACAAGAACCAGAACAGCACTAACACAAGCAACACAAACAACAACAATCAGTTTAAGACTGCTCGCTACTATCTGCCCACGTTCCAACCACTACGTATATCCCAAACCAACGGTACCCGCCCTCGTCGTCTTTCATCGTAACCCCTTAGGGGAAAGAGGACGGGTGGAAGGGGGATGGAGAATAATGGAAAATTAGCAGGGGGGCAAGGAGCCGAAAACAAGTGGTAGAACCAGACGGGCATATCGGCTGGGCAGACCCATAGCGGGCAGGTCGGGAAGGTGGGCCCAGGCGACGAGGTCGAGCAGGCATGTTGCTGAAGCGTGGGTCCTGCATGAATCGCGAAGATTCTCGAGCGATAGCGCGATCCCCAAGTAAATCCTGAGAAAAGCCAGAAAGCGAGAGCGTGATTCCTGAGCGCCGAGGGCGCATCGTCTGAATAAATTGCGAGGAAGTCCCACGCGAGAGAGCGATGCGTACATGAATTGCGAGGAGGTCCCGCGCGAGAGCGCGACTTGAGAATCCATCGTGAGAACGTACCAGGCGGGAGCCGAGGGTGCTGTAAACCGGGGGCCGGAGGCCCCGTTTGAGCCTCATAACTTTTCCGGATAAAAAAAACGCTGCGAGCCCCGGGGGAAGCACGTCACTTGAACTGAGAAAACACAATGGTCACCAGAGGGGGGGATCAACCATGTTTATTCTTCAGTAGTGAGAGTTCAACAGCAACAACAACGAAACCAACAACGACAACAACAACTAGAACAGCAGCAGCAATTACAACAACAACAGCAGCGCCAATAATACCAACAGCAACAATAACATCAACGACATCAACACACACAACAACGACAACAACACCACCACCAATAACAACAATCATTGTAAGGCTGTTCGCTTCTGCCTGCTCGCGTGCCGCGCCGGGAGGCGCCCATGCAGAATGGACCTGGAGGCGGGGCGGACACCAGCTGAATGCAGCAGATTTCGTAACCCCAGACATCGGGCATCCCGATTTGTTCGACACCCGGGGCCGATTCTTCATCCCGAATGCTTGTTTCGACGGTCCCGAGGCCCAGTAAGGACCCCGAAAAACCAAAACCATGCAAAACCCACCTTTCGTTTGTTCTGCGGCGCTGGATGCCTGGGACCCCCTTCTCCCTACCTGTTTCGTCCGGCCTCCTCCGGGCCTCCCACTGGCGGCGTCGGCCCCCACAGGGCGCCGTCGTGCCTTGTCCCCGCAGGCGGGAGGTGGGGGTGAGAGGCCTGGAGGCTGGCGACGCGCACGAGGCGGTACGGTAAGTTCGCGCGGCGCCGGCGCGCGTCAAGGTTTCCGTCACCGCGTCGATCGGCTCAACCGATCGTTCAACCTTGAACCGATCGCGGGCCCGATCGTTCAGCCGGGTCCAATGGCGTCACCGTGTCCCTCGGTGGTTGCGCGTGGCCGCATTGAACCTTGAACGCCTTCGCGACCGTCGCCGGCGCGCCATCGCCGCATGAACCTACCGTACGGGGAGGCGGGAAAGCTTTTTGGGAGAACCCGTTTGCATATGCTGTTTCATTACGTCGACCCCAAAAAGGTCTCGACCCACTCCCCGGGACCAAATCTTCGCCCCGAGCGGTTATTAAACAGTCCCGGAGCCCAGTCAGGACCTCTGAAAACCGAAACAGCAACAACAACCACAACAACAACAGCAATAACAACAAAAACAGCAACAGCAGCAGCAGCAACAACAACAACCACAACAACAGCAGCAACAACAACAAAAACAGCAACAGCAGCGACAACAACAACATCACAACATCGCAACATGAAAACAACAACAACAACAACAACAACAACAACAACAACAACAACAAGCAACAAGCAGCAAGCAACACCAGCAGCAACAACAACAACGACAACAACAACAACAACAGCAACGGCAAAAACAACCACAACAACAACAATCATGTTCAGACTGTTCGGTCTTATCTGTTCGAACGTCCGTCAACGTGTATTTTCCCGACCCTCGATACCCGCCCTCTTCGTCTTCGATCGTACCCCTTTTGGGGAGTATATACTTCTTCCCTGCAGGCGTAGGGCAGCGAGGGGGCCACACAAGGCGACAGCGGGGCCACGAAGGGCATGCATATGGGGCCATGACGTGCGCGAACGAACGGGGGCCACGAAGGGCATACGTATATTGGGCCGCAGGGGACAAGGGCCAAGGACGGGGCCACTGAGGGCAGCAACGGGGCAAAGGTAGGGCAGCGCTGGGGGCCACAAAAGGCGACAGCGGGGCCACGAAACGCTTACATACGGGGCCACGACGGGCGCGAACAAGCGGGGGCCACGAAGGGCATATATATATATATATATATACATACATACACATACACACATATATATAAATATATATACATACATACATATACGTATGTATATATATATATACGTATACGTGTGTATATATACATATATATATGTATATATATATATATATATATATATATATATATGCGGGGCCACTGAGAGCAGCTAGGAGGCCACAAAGGTCTGCAGCGGGGCCACGAAGGGCAGCGAGGGGGCCACGAAGGGCTGCAACGGGACCACGAAGGGCAGCGAGGGGGCCACGAAGGTTTGCAACGGGGCCACGAAGGTCAGCGAGGGGGCAACGAAGGGCTGCAACGGGGCCACGAAGGGCAGCGAGGGGGCCACGAAGGGCAGCGGGGGGCCACGAAAGGCTGCAACGGGGCCACGAAGTGCAGCGAGATCCCGAGGCCTAAGTAAGCTGTGAAGGAGTCCTAAGCATGATCGCGACTCCTGGGTGCCTGAGTGTCGGGAGCGCGGCGCTTGAGTAGATTGCAGTGAACTCCAACGCAAGAGCGCGATTCTTTAGTACACTGCAAGCAAGTCTCCAGCGAGAGCGCAACTCCAGAGCGCCGAGCGAGTGATCCTTCAATAAAGTGTACAGAAATCCCAAGCGAGAGCGCGACTTCTAAGTAAAATACGAAGAAGTCTCAGGCGGGAGCGGGGGTCCTGGCTAAATTGTGAGGATATTTCAAGCGGGAGCCGTTTTGTTGTAGTCTGGGGGCCAACGACTCAGTTTGATCCCCGTGACTGTCCCTGAAAAACCGGGTACGAGCCCCGGAGGAAGCACTTCAATCGGAAAAACACAATGGTGGCCGAAGGGGGATCAACAATACTTATTCTTCAATCGTAAGAACTCACCATCAGCAACAACAGCAGCAGCAACAGTAAACGCAACAGCAACAGCAATGGCAACAACAACAACAACAAACACAAGAACAGCAACAGCAGCAACAGCAATAGCAACAGCAACAGCAACAGCAACAGCAACAACAACAGCAACAGCAACAACAACAACAACAAACAAACACCAGTCGTGTTTTGTTCACTGCGCAACGCCCGAGCCTGGCGGCGCGCACACGGCGGTAGGCGGAGGGTGGACGGCCTCTTGGAATAAGGCTGCCTCATAGAACGCGCCGGCCCTACATCTATACATAGAAGGGCCGCGCCTTCTAGGAAGTTGGGTGCTTCGCGGCCGGGGAACATGAACTGGCTGGGCCCCCCCCAGACATGTGTCAGGAGGGGGGGAAGCCCCATCTGCTCCAGATCGGTCTCCTGAGCATCGCTTAACCGATCCCCCTCCCCACCAGCGTGGGCTGGGCCCCACTGGCCGATCTACCCTCCTGATGGGGATATAGGCTGCTCTCTTCGGGTTTCGAAGGGCATATCCTCAACTGAGGTGGTGAGACGTTGGGGCTCGAGATGTGGATGGGGATGAGGATAGGGACCAGTTCAACGATACTGATCTCCAGACCCCTCCTTGGGCTCATCTGGTGCAAACCTTTCACTCGGGAGGGGGCTCCGGGAGTTTGCTTGGGCGGCGGCCCATTGGGCCGTGGGCCCCCGCATCTGCCCCTGCATCCGCCCCTTCCCCCACCCCCCGGCGGCGGCGGCGGCCCCCCTCGCAGCGGCCGCGCCCCCCCCCGCGGGGGCTCGCGAGCCTCGCTGTCGCAGCCGTCGGCCGCCGGCCCGCCCGTGCTCCCCAGGCGCTGGGGGGCGGCCCTGATGGCGGACCTGGCGCCCAGGCGCAGAGGGGGGGCGACAAGGGAGGGGGAGGAGAGGGAGGAGGACGACAGGCTAGGTGCGCTCGCGACATGTCTGACGTCCTACCCCTCGCGCCGATCCCTTACCATGGCATAGATATCCGATCTGTTCGCACAGTCGGCTGTCGAGCAGGGCAATGATCGCGAGAGGGTGCGCGACGCATGGTAGGAGCACGGCATGGCATGGCGTGAGGAGGAGGAGGAGGAGGAGGAGGAGGAGGAGGAGGAGGAGGAGGAGGAGGAGGAGGAGGAGGAGGAGGAGGGGGGGAGGGGAGGGGAGGGGAGGGGAGGGGAGGGAAGAAGGGGATGGAGAGGGAGCGGGAGGAGGGGAGGAGGACAAGGACCAGCTCGAGGGGGACGTCATCATGAATCACAACGGCGGGGCTTGGCCAAGGGACCCATGACTCGCCTTGCCGTGTCCCTTCCCTGTACTTTTTTCTTGTCGTCTGTGTGTGCTCACATCTTTCCTGGCCCCTAAGGGAGGCCGCCGAAGTGGGCCGCTTTGGGGGGCCTCCGCCAGTTCAAGGCGCTCGAGGTCTCGGGCGAAACGCGGCGCTACTGGGTCGGCAGTGCGCTGGCCGCGCTTCGAGCAGTGTGCTGCTCGAGGAGGCGGCGCGAGGAGAGAGTCGACCTCGGCGGTGCGGCACACACCGCTGCGCTCGGAGGTTCCGTTCCCCTGCAGGCGGATGCTTTGGAAAGAACAACGGCCAGTAACCCAAACATATCAAAACATATCAATGCATACATACATACATACATGCATGCATGCATGCATGCATACATACATACATACATACATGCATACATGCATGCATGCATGCATGCATGCATACATACGTGCATCCATACATACATGTATACATACAAACATACACGCACACATATACACACATACACACATACATACACATACATACACATACACACATACACACATACACACATACATACATACATACATACATACATACATGCATACATGCATGCATGCATGCATGCATGCATACATACGTGCATCCATACATACATGTATACATACAAACATACACGCACACGCATACACACATACACACATACATACACATACACACATACACACATACACACATACACACATACATACATACGTACATACATACATACATACATACATACATGCATACATGCATACATGCATACATGCATACATGCATACATGCATACATGCATACATGCATACATACATACATACATGCATGCATACATGCATACATGCATACATGCATGCATGATTACATGCATGCATGCATACATGCATACATGTATACATGTATACATGCATACATGCATACATACAAACATACATATATACAGGCATACATACATACATACATACATACATACATACATACATCCATTCATCCATACATACATACATACATACATACATACACACATACACACATACATGCATGCATGCATGCATGCATGCATGCATACATACATTCCTCTTCCTGTATGTGTATAAGCCCAGGTGGGAGGACCCCCCCCCGAACAAAAACGGACTCCTGGGATCTGGAGCTTTGGGGCCCTCCGGACGGGCCTCGAAGCGCCCCCCCGGGCCTCGCAGGGCGTTTTGCCAAGCTTTCCCAGGGCACATCAGGGGGGTCATCGGAGACGTCCCAGAGACCCCCAAGACAGCACAAGAGCGCTCCAAGAGTGATCGACGTGACCTCAAGATGGCCCAAGAGGCCTCCAGGACGGCCCCAAAGGCTTCAAAAAGCCTCCAAGAGCACTCCCAATGAGGTCCCAAGAGGCAACAATCATTGATCTTCTGCGGGTTTTTGGTGAATGTCGGGGTTATCCTCTTTTCGGCTTCCCGACGCTCCAATACGGCAGTCTTCTGGGCGTCCGAAGCCGCCTGGGAGTCTCCAAAATCGCCCCACAACCATCCGAAAGGGCTTCCAGGCAGCCCAAGAGAGCCCCAAAACGGCACAACAGGGGCCAAAGATGGCCCTAAGAGAGCCCCATGGCGGCCCAAGACGTCCCCGAGACACCCTCCGAAGCATTCCAAATCTTGACCCGGTCGTTCAGGGAGACCGCGGTTGGAGGCAGGGTGGCCCGAGGAAGCCTCCAGAACACGCCCAGGGCGAGCGCGCGATGTCGGTCCAGCGGGACCGGCCCTATGAGGGCAGCGCGGGGGGGCCGGGGCCCCTCAGAAGACGAGTCGGAGCCGGAGTCGCAAAGATGGACGCTGGAAAGGGAAAATTGGGAGCCGGAGTCGGACAAAAGGGCGCCGGAGTCGGAAACTTGGGAGTGGGCGCCAGAGTCGGAGAGATGGCTGGAGTCGGGAGAAAACTGGGAGCCGGAATCGGAGAGATGGACGCTGGAGTCGGAAAATTGGGAGCTGGGGTCGGTGAGACGGGCGCCGGAGTCGGAGAGATGGGCGCTGGAGTCAGAAAACTGGGAGCCGGAGTCGGAACGATGGACGCTGGAGTCGGAAAATTGGGAGCCGGAGTCGGAGAGATGGGCGCCGGAGTCGGAGAGATGGGAGCCGGAGTCGGAAAACTAGGAGCCGGAGTCGGAGAGATGGGCGCTGGAGTCGGAAAGTTGGGAGTCGGAGTCGGATAGCTGGTAGCCGGAGTCGGGAAATGGAGCTGACGGAAAGTTGGGAGCCGGAGTCGGTGGGATTGGAGCCGGAGTCGAAGATGTGGCCGCCATAGTCGGATAAATGTCCCAAGCTGGAGACTGGGAGTCGGAAGGTGGACGTCGGAGTGGGAAGTTGGAAGCTGAAGGTTGGTAAAGTGAGTCTGGGGGGCGACAGGTGAGGTGGAGGTTGAGAGTTGGAGGTGGGAAGATTGCTTTGTTTGTATCGTCATCGTATGTTGTAATAACTGTGCGCGTAATCTAAGAACTTATTCTGTAGCTTTTCCCACAACGACAAATCTGATGCTACGGATAACCACTGTGCGTTGTCGTCTTTGGTTTTGCTGTCGTCCACGAGACTCTCGGAAAATTGACTACATCGTCGGCCCATTTCTTCCGCTGTCCACCGTGTCTTCGTTGTGCTGGGCGTGGATCGTGGTCTTGCGGTTCCCATTCGGCCACTAAAAGAGTCCACCTGTCGGAATCGTGTCCTGCTAAGCGCGATGCCCACCTCCATTTCCTTCTGAAGTACACAGTTGTCCACTCTGGCACATGTGCTTTTGAAGCGTGACATGCTGCCGTGTGTGTCGCTCTCTGTATGAAGTCAGCCCATGGTTCTAGCTCTTCGTCGTTGTTTTCGCGCGCAAGGCCCTCGTCGCTTGAATTGCTGATGTCGGGGGCGTTGCGGTTGTGGTCAGTGTCGTCACTAGCGCACTGGCTGTGAGTGCTGCGTCGCCGCGGCATCCCCATGATGAGCCGTAGCATTTTCCGTTGAACTCGTCTAAGAGTGATGAGCATGTCCTTCGTGAGGGTCCACGATGAGCACCCATACATCACTGACGGCGTGATTGTGCCGTTGAAGAGACGCAATCGACTGTGCAATGGAAACCGCTTGTTTGTAAGCTCGTGCCGTAACTGGTTGAACCGGCCCCATCCTGCAGCGATCTGGTTGTGTAGCTCTGCGTCGTGAAAGCCATGGAAGGTGAGCTTTCTCCCCAAACACTTTGTGGTTTTGTCGGAACTCAAGATCTCGAAGCTCTCTCCGCTGATGTCGACATGGCTGGTTGTTCTGCCTTTCTTCCGGGTGATCTTCGTCAGGATCTTCGTTTTGTCCCGGCGCAATGACAAGCCACATTTTTCTGCCTGGGCGCGGACATCTCGAAGGAGGCAAGCGAGTTGTCGCACGTTGGGCGCGCAGAGCAGCACGTCGTCGGCGAAGCGCAAGTTCGTGATCCGCGCATGTGGTGCCAATCCCAAGTGGATGCCAAAGTTCTTTCGAAGCCACGTTGGTTTCACTTGCCTGCAGACATGCTCGAGGACAGCGTTGAAGAGGAAGGAGCTGAGTGGGTCCCCTTGTTTTACTCCTCGTTCGATGCTGAAGGGTCTGCTCGTGGTGTTGGTGCGAACGGTTGCTGTCTGGTCGCGGTACAATTGCTTCAGGAAGTTGATGTAGGCTGACGGTAGATGCTGTTGCCGTAAGGCCTCCCATAGGCATCCATGGTCAACGCAGTCGAATGCTTTCTTGAAGCCTATGGCTGCCGTCCAGAGCGGTAGCTGCCACTCGTAAGAACGTTCATGGAGTATTGCAGTGGTGAAGAGGTGGTCCTCGGTGCAATAGTTTTTCCTGAACCCTGCTTGGTCAGGGCACTGCTGCGAGTCAAACAGAGAGCTCAGCCGGTTGCAAATGAGGCGAGGCAGAAGCTTGTATAGCAGTGCTATGATTGTAATTTGTCTGTAATTGCTTGGAAGCTTCGGGTCTCCAGACTTGTGGATCACACTGATGGTGGTGCTCCTCCATTGGTCTGGGGGGGCCTGTTTGGTCTTGATGAGGTCGTTGTAGAGTCGCAAGAGGTGGTCTCGTATGGTAGCGCCGCCTGCTTTTGAGCAGCTCAGCTGTGATTCCCGCAATGTCTGCGCATGTGCCGTTTTTGAGCTGGCGGATTGCTTGGTGGAGTTCGTTCTCTGCGAAAGGTGGGATGGTTGTGTCGGTTTGTGTTTCTTCGGGGGTGTTGTCGGGATTGCGTGCTTGATGCGGGTCCTTGTACAACTTCTCGTAGAAGGCGGCGAAGATGTCTGCTATGCTCTGTCTGTCTGTCTCTTCCGTGCCTGTGCTTGACGTCATAGAAGCGATCAGATCATTTTTCTTACTAGTTTTCAGTGCCGCAATCTTCTTCAGCCCTTTGAATAGACAAACAATTCCTTCAAGTTTTACGTTCGCTTCGGCGCGTTTGATGGCCCTGGTCTGTCGTAAGATTTGCTTGCTGAGGGATCTGGCCTCTCTGTGTCTCCTGGTGCTGTAATGCGTCGTTGTTCGATGAGCGCCTTGAGCCGTGCGGTGAGTCTGTC